TCCTCCTCCTCCTCCTCCTCCTCCTCCAATTTAAAATCATGTTGTCATATTTAAAATTTATCCCTTAAACCAAGCCTTATCATTGCTGATATAATTGCTCGTTAGTCGAGTTTATTCAGGACACCCTGTGTATATCGGAGAGTACATATATACCGGGTTGCTCGGAAAATTTAATTAAACAGATTTATAAAAAAAATACCATTTTATTTTATTATATTTTTTTTTTTAAATAAATATACTATTTATTATTTGTATTATATTAGATTATTTATAGTTGCTTAAAAGATTAAAAATTATAAATAAAATAATTATCATTTGAAATTATCAAATGTTACACTTAATTACACTATTGTAAACTATATATATAATGGTAAACATAATTGAAATTTATTAATAAAAAAATATATAAAAAGCTAATTAAAATTCAAGAATTTTCTGAGCAACTCCAATATACATAACAATCTTGTACTATACCGGTTGTTGAATAACAGTAAACTTAACTGATTCCTTCTACATTATAAAATTGTCTATTTTATTTTGACTACTACGATTATCAGATATTAAATTTAAAAAAAAAAGAAAAATAATAATTTCCTTAGTAAATTTCGTACTATCTAATATAAATTGGCGATGATCATTAACCAGCAAACACTTATCTCCAGACATCCTGTATTTGCTCACGAACAGTAAACCGCTATTTAAACTGCTTGATCTCACTAACAAGAGAGACCACGATACTCCTCTTCCTCTTCCTCCTCCTCCTCCTCCACCTCCTCCTCCTCCTCTCCACTTCTTAGTTTACCTATCGTTTCAGCAAACTATCCACTTCCATTATTTTTTATTCCCGTAACGTATGTAGATATATACGTGACCTTGCTTTAGGCTTGTATTTTAAACTTCTTTACAATGCTCGCAAAATGTGAGACTTACGACTCTACTAAAAATAAAGAAGAACGCGAAATAAAACGTAAGACTACAAATCAGTCGTCGTCGTCGTCGTCGTCGTTGTCGTTTCTTTCGTTGGATACGTGAATTTCATTTAAATTTAATCTACCGACGATGTTGTTTTACGCATGAATTACAATCAGACAGGATTTCTCTTACTGCGTGTAATAATTTATCTTGAAGTAAAATAAATAACAAGAAAGGAAAAATAACGAAGTGGATAGGATCAGTTGGAATTAGTTTACCAAACCTATTGAAAACAAATTGCAAAGAGGAAGAATAACAAACTTTTTCTACGAGGTAAAATCAAATCAAAAGGAAAACTAATTGGAGTACTACACAACATCTATGGATTTTGGATTTTGTACAAAGATTAGGTACAAAGAGGTACACTAGGTACAAGACTAGGACTTAGGTACAAAAGGAAAAGTATTTGAACTGATTTGACAATACCAATGGATTTTGGATTAGGTGAAACGACAGAGAAAAAGCGTTGTTGCTTTGATTAATTGCATGGAATAAGGAAATTATGTACAACGCTGATCAGGAAATGAAAATTTCAGAAAGAACAATCTTCTATAAACTTAAACATTTGAACAACGATGTTTAATCTTAGATGATATTTTGTTTATTCAATCACATTTTCAGTTTAATCTTCTTCTTCCTCAGGGGCAGCACCACTAGAGCCCTTACGCAAGTTCTTCCTCTTTACACGGCCAGGTCTGCCACTTCCGAACGGTGACTTCAATGAGAAGTCAATGTGCTTTTGCGAATCTAATCGTACAATGAACGATGGGATGTTCACCACTTGTTTACGCACCCTGAAACGATACACCGTAAGTCGAATCCAAAATCCTTTTTCTTTTTTTTTCAAAATAAAACTATTTTTGAATTACTAAATACTCGAGGAATGAATTTATTTGCTATTGATGTCTCGAAAATTGTTAAACTTAAATACCGAATATAAGGATGACGGATTATTGTTCCAATATCAACAACAGACGTTAAACGTTAATATTTAATTAACGTTTAAGTGGCCTGTATGAAATTAAAGTAGCTTCAAACATTTAACATTCCATTCGATTGAAGTCAAGTTTTAAGATAAATGGTGTCAAGTCAGGTGTGATCAACCAGGTAAATTGTTGTCCTGACATCTGTAGTAGCAAAAATGTTCTATTATAGGATATTGTCACACGAATTGTTTTTATAAGCATCAATGAAGTTACGCAAAAAAAAAATGTATTTTTTAATTAATATGATGCTTCGATAATCGTAGATTAAGACTTGAGTGTGATTGTTTTGTCTCCTGGGTTGAAACTCGACAAAAAATAATTCTTGCCCAGAGATTAAACCAGGCTTTTAATCTCGCCTTAAATGATTAGAAATGATCTTCAAGTAATTCAGATATTTCTTGCCCAAAATTTAAGGCTACAATAATCTTATTATTATATAAATAATTATTTATTTTGGTTAGATTAATATAAACTCACCGAATGTGACGTTGACGAATCAAAACTCTGGCATGATGAATCGATTTAGCAAGACCCAATTTAAATACTTGAGTTTGAAGACGTCTTTCCAAGAAATCTTCAATTTTCAAACCAAGAACGTAATCAAGTTTCATGTGTCCCTCATCCAACACACCAATTCTTACCAAACGTCTCAACAATGCATTACCTAAAATCAAATCCCACATTATTTAGAAACACAAATAATATTTGAATATTTATTAAACATATATTTTTTTATTTCTATTTTGTTTTTCAGAATGTAATTGATACTCCTCAAAATTGTTAGGTCAAGAGGTGTCAGAAAATAAATTATTATTTCATCATATAATATTTAAATACAAATTTATCTAAGTTATATTATTTTATAACCTAAAATATCTAATAAAGTTAACCCTTAAAGTGCACATGGGGTGTTAGACACCCCAACAAATTTTAACGGTACTGAATTCGAAAAAATGGGTTATTTGTCGCCATCTAGTGGTTAATTCAGATGGATATAAAACTTATTCTATTTTAAAAAAGATGTAACAAACTACTTTTACAAAAATTGCGAGGTCTAAATATTAAATAGCGGCTTCAGGAGACGCGTTCAAACACGTTGGGGTGTTAAACACCCACAGTGCACTTTAACTAACTTTTACCAAGTGTGCACTTTGAAGGTTAACCCTTAAATAAAAATATATATATATACCTTCGAAGAGACGTTTAGGATCTTTTTCTTCCAACGTAAGAAGTTCTCGAGCAGCTTTACGAATTTTAGCCAAAGTGTACTTGACTCTCCATACTTCACGTTTGTTACGAAGACCATATTCACCGATAATTCTTAACTCTTGATCTAGACGTGCTTTTTCATAAGGACGCCTGGGTGTTACGTAGGTCTTTGAAAAGACCGATGGAATTCGTCCGTTAACCATTTTGTAAGATCGTTACCTAATTAAAAAAAAAATAAATATTTATAAAACCATGTACTCATTAAAACAAAACAAAAATACATAAGAATAAATAATTCACCCGTTTATTATATTTTTAAATTGTTATTTGATTTAAATATAAAAAACGAAAGTTGTTTTAAGACCACGTGGTAATTCAAATGGAAATATGCAAGAAACAAATCGCACAATGAAAGAGGAATCCTCCATTTTTACATTCTTATTTTATTTTATTTATTATATTGCTACTAAATAGAAAGATAAAAAATGAATATTATTAATGCAACGTGTTAATTCGAGTAAAAATCTACAAGAAAAAGAAACATGGAATAATCAAGATGGCGACCACATTTTCAATTAATTTTTCAAAGACAAAATTAAAGATGAAAAATACATAATTTCTTCTATTAATTATATGAATTAATTAAATAATAATAAACGAACAAATATTAATAATAATTATAAAACATTTAGTAATAAAATAATTGTTAAAATTATCTTACCTCAAACTCCGCTTGAAGCAACGACCACACTGTAGCGAGATGAAGACGAAAATGGCCGAGCTCACCGCAACCGAGAAGATCTTCCAACCGACCAATGATCACGTGTTATAATGTTAGCCAATCACGAACGACTCGAAGCTACTGAAACGCCTCGTAGCGATCATTTTTGAAAACACTGCAAATTGCAAAAAAAATTTAAATAATAATTAATAAAATAATGAAAATTCAAATATTAAATAATAAATATTAAAACGATATAAAAAAGAAAATTCATCAATTTGCGAAAATAAACTTATTTAATAATAATTTTATTTTTTTTTCTTAATTATTATATTCCATTCCTTTGAAAAAAAAAAAAAAGTATGTCAAGAACCTATATTTCATCATACATCTAATCAATGTTATTGATAATAATTAAAAATATTCATATTATCATAAATGTTTGTGAAATTTTTCAATTATTGAAGCAATGGAATATTTAACATATTTATCTTATTTACTGTATTAATTACTTTCCTGTAGATTAACAAAAACATATTTTATATTACATTATTTTGATACACATTAAAATAAATTCAGTATAAATAATATGATATAAATAAATAAATAATACACAATGCAAAATATTTAAACTTACAACTTTAGTTTCTTAGAATAATAAAATTAAAACACTTTGTGTATTGCTTTTAAAATGCAAGCCACGTGACAGAACAGACAAAAATAATTAAAAATGTGTTTAAATAAGGAAACATTTCACAATGTATTTTGGATAAATGAAAAATATGAAAAGTTATTTAACAATACACGTGAATAATGACAATTATTAAAATATTAGGTAAATAACCAAATTTCATTACCAAATGTTAAAGATAACCTAATCTATAACCACATTTCTTGAATATCATTATTTATCTTTTCTTATCGCCATGATATGCAAAAATAACTTTTACATGATGATTTCCGTTTCGTGTGTTATCATTTTTTTTAATCAAAATTTGATTTGACATAAAATTTATAATCCTGTTTTCTTATTATTATTAACCAACAAATACGTGTTTTACGTAAGTCATTAAGATCTCACAACAATTCTATCTAACTTTCAAAATATATTGTGAAAATTATATCTTTTTCAATGGAAAAAAACAAAAAGACAAAAAAAACATTATCTGTTTGTACAAACAATATTTTGTTGTTCGCATTGTAATTTTAAATGACTATTAACTTTCAAAATTATTACCCAATTGTGATGAATAATTAACATTTACAATGAGACTCTGCCAAAATTGATATTACACTAATAACTTCTAGTGATTAACAATTAAACACATTCAAAAGAAAACATTAAACTTAAAAATGTATATAATGAACTTCTTTAAGAATCCTTAATAAGTCACGTTTAAATCACGTTTCTCTACAATATTTATTTATGATAGCACTTTGATATGGAGGGTCATTCTATTGACCTGGAGAGCAGAGAAACTCAGATAAGCAAGGAAGTAAGTATCCCCTTCACGTCTTCAATGACTTCAGAATCTCTAACGGCACGAGACAGTTAAGAATGGTTTTATTTTATTCCTTTAATGTATAACAACAGTTAGACTTTAGTGATCATTTTACTTTATATTTCACAAGCATCCAATCTATTACCAAAAAAAAAAAAACAAATAAATAATGGAGGTTGTGGTAACTGTAAGTATTATTATTTCTTTTAAACTCATTGCATATATCCAATCCTTTTTTTTTTATATATAAATTGTTATTTTTTTTATAATAAAAGTAACATAGAAGGTATACATGAAACCTTCTTATAATTGTAAAACAATTGTTTTTTTTTTTTTATTATATTTAAATGTGTAATAGAAAATTGTTTTATTTTTTTGTTTTTATTTCACCATACCACACCATACCTTGTCGATATTAATGAAATATTTGATATCTTTTTTTTTGTTTCATATTAAAAACCAAAATTCATGTTATTGAACATCATGTTGTTAAAATTAATATTTAAATGAATAATTTATAATATTTCAAAGTATATCCTCTACAATCATCATCCAATGTATGTCGAAATGAAACTCATGTGCGATTAATATATTTTTTTTTTTTTGATTATTTTTCAAGTAGTAAACAATTTAATTTCAAAATAATAATGCAATATCAAGATAATATTAATATACGTAATAGTGTAACCCATTTAAATGTTACCAATAATAATAATAATAATAATAGGATTTGCAATAATTTAATCATCCTATTTGTAAACCTAATTATTGGTAAATCTTCCAAATATCAAAGTTTATCAATGTTTTTTTTTTCATTGATAAGTTTATAAATTATTACTTTGGTAAAAAGTATAACAATTTTTTTTTTTTAAAAAAAGATGATCTCTAGAACTTGCATTATAAAGATAATAATTGTATTGACCTCTTGAATGAGATTAATATAATTCACGTGAGGGAACTCGTGCGATATTATCACGTGAGAGACATAAATTTAAATGATAATAATTAATAGCTATAATATTTGTATTATATATTACACAATGAACTTGACTAATTAATTTTCCGATATTGATATAAACGTCTGCGCATTAAACTCGGTTGATGATAATTACATGAACAAAAAATCAAAATAATCATTGAAAATAAATGTATTTTTACAGTATCCTATATTAAAGTCTTTTCTTGCTGGCTCATTCTCTGGTACTTTTTCAACAATCTTATTTCAACCATTGGATCTAATCAAAACTAGATTACAAAGCAGAGTTAACAATCATGTTGAGTAAGTAACTATTAATAATATAATAAATCAAATAAATTAGCATTAGTTTAAAAAATGTATGATGCATAATCTACTTACAGACCAACAAAAAATGGAATGCTTAAAACAGTTGTACATATAATAAGAAAGGAAAATGTATTTGGATTATGGCGAGGTATGACACCAGTAAGTAATCTATATGCAATAATATATCTAATATGTTCAATAAGTATACTAATTGTATAATAATAATAATAATAATAATAATAATAATAATAATAATACAAAAATAATTTGTTGTAGTCTATAACAAGGGTCATCCCAGGCGTTGGTCTTTATTTTTCTTCTCTTGATTGGTTAAAACATGCATTACAACTAGAAGAACCATTGACACCACTACAAGCTATATCATTAGGTATTACAGCACGTTCTATGTCCGGTGGTTTATTAATACCAATCACTGTTGTTAAAACACGATTTGAGGTACAAATGCATTAAAATAATATTTCAATACGTTGTATTGATATGCAGTTGTTTGTTTTTTTTTGTTTTTTGTTTTTTTTTTCACAAAATACTTAATGTTATTAAGCTATGTTTGTTTATAGAGTGGTGTTTACAAATACAATAGTGTTTCGGAAGCTTTGAGGCTTATATATAAGCAAGAAGGTATTAAAGGTCTGTCCAGTGGTCTAGTACCAACGTTACTTCGTGATGCACCATACAGTGGCCTTTATCTATTATTTTATACACAATTAAAACAAATGGCAAGTCATACAGGTAACTTACAACAAAGAGAATAAATATTCATTCAAAAAGTTTGTTTTCTTACTAATACGAATTCTTTCTTCTCTTGTTTCTTTAGAATTCGTTCATAAAAATACTTCCATATCAGTGAACTTCAGTTGTGGAATTTTAGCAGGAATTTTTGCTTCAATTGTAACACATCCACCGGACGTTATTAAAACGAAAATGCAATTATATCCAAATGAATTTAAAACTATTTACAGTGCCACTTATATTGTATATAAAAAGTACGGAATATTAGGATATTTTAAAGGAATAGTACCCAGAATGTTAAGAAGAACACTGATGACTACCATGGCTTGGACTGTTTACGAACAGGTATTATTTACATTAGGTCAAAAATTTTTAAATGTTACTTTGATTATTATGCTCTTATTGTTAAATTCACGAATTCATTTTACAGATCACACGAAGCATTGGGTTAAAATAAAATTTAATCTTTCATTATTACTGATTAATTGACATAAATAAAAAATTATACGTCATTTGAACAATTATTTATATATATATATATATATATATGTATATATATCTATATGTATGTACAGTATTAGAAAGAAGCAGCGATGTATTGTTCATTGTATTATCAATTTATGTATTTATTTAAATAAATTATATATTTTTATAGATTACCTAATTGTCAAACTTATATTTTGTATATTACAATTGTACAAGATATTATTACCAGCTATTAAAATGATTTATTATTTTTTTTTTGTTGTTGTTTAAAATTCATCTTTACCTGTATTTGTTATGTCATTGTTTTCTACGTTCTTTATCAAGATCATTTTATTAATTTCAAATAACAATAATTACGAGTATTACAACGCAATCTATGGACATGTTAACCTTGTTTAAATAGGTATGTATAATAAAATAACAATTATTTGTAAGATTTAAATAAAATGGCAATCAAATAACATATACATATATTTAAAGGCCGATTTATATCATCAATTATTAAAGATTCATTTTGTTTTTGTTTTTTTGTTAATATTATATATCTATATATATATATATATATATAAATATAAATAAAAATTATATATACATATATATAAATATATATATATATATGTATAAAATTTATAAATTTTCAATGTGAAGATTATGCAAAATCTTTACCTTAATAATATATAAAGCGGAGTGCAGGTGGATCCTTCGAACTGCTTAATTTCCATTGTCCTGTCTTCATTCTGAAAATAGATAATCAATGTTTTAGAAGTTAAGATTTAACAAATATTAAAATTTCGTACGAATCGCAATTACTTTATTTATACGATTAACATAATTCCCTTATTGTAGCTGTTGTTAACCTCATTATGTTAAATTCTTAAACAGAAATAATATATTTCAATTATATATGCATAAATAAGCAATTAATTAAATTCAAAATATCACTTTGATTGCAGCATTGAAATATCACTGTGAACTGTTGATTACGCCATGTTATTTATGATTTATGATATTATAAATCTTTCACAAGATAATTTATTAACAAACAAATCAAATAAATTAATTTTTATTGAAATATTTTTATTTTTATTTTTTTTTTCTATTTCAAATCGAATATATTTGTCTTCTCTTTTCTATTTTATTAAATACACATTTTAAATTAAATTAATCAAATGTTAACTACAATACAAAATGATAATATTGAAGTTAAAGTTAATTAGAATAAATGTTTATATTTCTGTAAGTAAATATTGAAAAAAAAAAAAAAGCAGATTATGTAACAATAAAGAAACATTTATATCATTATAAACAAGTTATACAAATGTAAGGATATATATAGAATATATATGTAATCTTCTCTATAAAAGCTGAAACGAAGGACATGGCAAACTGAATAAATATGAGACTATGAATGAATGAGGAAAGAAATCCTAGGAGCAGCTCAATTTATGATCCATATGGCCTCTGTTGTTGTGATCCTTTAAAAATAGACGTAGGACAATGCTACAGAATAATTCATTTTAACCCATATATATATATATATAAAAAGAATAATTTAGCCCATAGCCTAACCATTAAAGAACTAAAATAGTAAATAAAGTGAGACGTGCAAGAAGGAAAGAGAAAATATTGCATATGATACTAATTTCTCATCAACTTGTGTAGAAAAAATGGGAAGTAATAATAAGAAATACCTCATTAAATAATCTTTAAATAATCAATTAACAGTGGTGGTACAATATTAACGATGACACAATTGTAAAAATCTATTTGATAATTTTTGATATCGCCGACTATAGAAATAAGAGAAAAGTTATTTCGAACGTTAAAAGTTCGAAGTTGAAAAATACAACAATTGATCTATCCAATTAGTATCCATATAGGGTGTTGTCATTAACATATATATATATATTCATTCCTAAACGAAAAAACTCGCTGAGAAATAATCACTGAAAGTCATGTTGATAATGCTCCGATCAACTGCAATTAGGAAGTAAGGAAAGTAATAGCAGGAGTTTGTTATCATTTCCTTTTAAAGCACTAGAGCACTGAAGTATCACTCCAAAAATAAATCAATCATCAATTTCAAAAAAGTCTAACTTTCCTAATAAAAGGACATGTTTGGTATTATCATTCCGATATAAATACCTCAGAAATGCGTAGCAGAAGCTAGGTTTGTATAGTCACAGTCACACAGGGCACTGCCGTGTTGCAGGTCTACGGAAGTAGGCACTGTTTCCTCCACTAATTCACTAATTTCTTTTCGACAAAAAAGCTATGCAGTCGTTGACATAACATAATTTACTATATTTAACCTATGAAGACATTATACCGATCAAAGCAAGCATAGGTATACCTTCTCCTATCTTGCTCTGTAGACAATATCTATAATACTACATGATAAATATACCTTTATTTTGTGAACGACTTTACTAATCCTCGCTCGACATTACCTCGATGCAGCTTTTTTTCAAGCTATATGTTACATACAATGAGCTCGTCACATTGAAAATAAAATGCTGTACAATCAGGTCCATATGAAATTTAGTAAGAGCATTTCTCCAATTAATAGGCAGGATCAAAGACTGGTACGTTGTGACTGTATGCGATTCTTCAAAATCACAGATAATTATCATGTACATATTATGTGCATCTAATGAAACTCACCTGGTAAAGAACCTGTACAGTAAATGAGACGAATATATCGTTAATTGTTTAGTGCATACCTGGCTTAGTTCTCACTCACTAACCAATCAAGAGTAGTTACTTGTGACTTCGACTTCGAGATCGATGGCGACGACGATTATGGTGACTTGAACTTCGATGATCTCGATTTCCTATAAACAATAATTCAATACATTATTATACAGATCTCTTTAGTGTTTAAACTTTTTATCACATACCTTTATCGCGAGCATGACGTCGATGATTATCGTCATCGCGATGTCGATCATATTTCTCTCTAGACCTGCTTCTACTTCTATGTCCAGAATTTCTATAAAATCAAATTTCATATTTTGATTTTTAAATAAATACTGTCGATAAGATTGATAATATAATATGATTATCAAAATACTTACCTATGACTTCCAGAGTCATGTCTACCCTTGTCATCGTCTGTACGTCTGCGACGTTTATCCCTTTCTCTGTCTCTATCTCTGTCACTTTCTCTCCTTCGTCTATCCAATTCTTCATTAACACGTGCTCTCTGCTTTCTCTCTTCTTCTCTTTTCTGCTCTTTTTCATCTCGTGCTTTTTCACGTTTACTCTATATAAAGACAAATTATTTGTATTAATACAAAATAATTAATCATAGGTATTAATTGTTAAAAAGAAAAAATTCTTAATTTGTTTATATACCATAATATCTTGAAGAGCACTTTTTAATCTGGCATAACCAACATGTTGTTTACCCATCAAGTGATCATCAATTCGTTGTTGAGCATCTCCGACAATCAAAAAAGCACCGCACACGTCACAAACTTCCATCTGTTTTTCTTGAGCAGCAGCTAACTCAGCAGTCTTAAATAAAACAAATCAAATATTAAATGAAATATTTAATAAAACATTTAGAAAAAGAAAACAACATTATATAAAACATACTTGATTATAATGACTATTGTCATTGGACTTTCTAAGAGCTTCTCGTTCTTCTTTTAATTGGTCACAAAGTCTCATTAGGCCTTGAGCTTGTTCAACGTTTCCTTGAATACCACTTTGTTCAGCTTCTTCGACTAATTTGTTAATCTTCTCCGTTAGCAGAGCTATTTGTTCTTCATTCCTTTGAGTTTGTGCTGGAGTCAAAGTAGGCTAAAGAGAAATATAAAATAATTCAAAAATTGATTATTATTGATCTTAATACTTTGAACTATGATTCAACAAACAAAGCATTCAATTCTACTTCTTATTAATTAGAGAGTTAAATAATAAATGTAATACGTACTGCTTCAGTTCTTCCAATTAAAGCAAGACGTTGTTTGCCTTTTACAATTTTCCTTTCAACCTCGTTAAGCATACTTTGACAAAATCTAATAAATTCATCTTCGTATTGTTGTTTACGATAAGAATATGGCGCTTTCTCAAAAAGTTCTCTAGCTTCATCATCGTGTACTCGTGAACAAGCTCCAAGATCAGCTCGAGTGTTAACGAATAAATCGTGAGGACAGAATTTGACCAAATATAATTTGCAAAACTGTAAAATAAAAAGAGATTGACTGTTTAATCATAATTTAATAACAAATCAATTGATAATTAAAATGATATCGAAGGTAGAATCGATCGTTAATTAATCGATGTGTTTTCGTTATTTGTAAGAAAGTGAAGGATTATTTTTATAAATATAATCATACCTCTGGATCCTCCCAATTTAGTTCTTTAGGTTTTTCGTTAGGAAGAACATTTCTGTTTCTTCCCATAAGCTCGTCGAGTAACGCAGCAGCAGCAGCAGCAGCCATATTCCCAAATATGATTCAACACTCCCAATATAAAGGAATGCTTCCAAAGGTCGATGAGAGGGAATGTCCAACGTGATAGCTGTCAAAGGAACAATTTATTCCTTATTTAACTTTGACGGAAAAAAAGACGGATGATAAAAAAAATTGAACGTTAATAAAGTCTAGATTAATTCCACAAACATAGAATAATTAATAGCCAAGAAGATTTATAATTTTAATATAATTTGACAAACACTTTTCATGACACTGTAGATGACACTAGCGTGTAAACAGATGCAGTGTTTGACCACGGGACGCTACAGCGCTGCTGTCGCTAAATTTAAGGGGCTATATTCATTAAATGATACTAAACATTATGTTGTCAAAACAATGCTTAAAGTCGTTTTATGAAAATCTCACTTAATACACATAAAGAAAAAGAAAACAATAAAAAATAATTACTTTTATTTAATATTGATATTTAGTAATTAGTTTTTTATATTATTTTCTAATACTACTTTCAGTTTGAACAATACCTTTGTAAATGTTTAATTTAAAAATATTAGAACCATAACCTAATAACCTTTGTATCTATAGGACTCTATAGTTAGTATGGAGAGTAGAGGCAGTGCTGTCAGATCGTGGGTAAATCTTACCCTCTCCCTGTGCCACTGGGATTGCACACAATGAAAGTTTTCCATGTCCGTGTGTTTGGGATGTCGAAAGAAGCCGAGTGTAACCGAAGTTGGCGGTTGGCCATGGAGTGGCACACTATGAAAGCGACTCGTGTCGTCCGAACACAACCAACTTCGGTTACACTCGGCTTTCCTCGACATCCCAAACACACGGACATGGAAAACTTTCATTGTGTGCAATCCCAGTGGCACAGGGAGAGGGTAAGATTTACCCACGATCTGACAGCACTGAGTAGAGGTTAGGAGTAACATCTCTGTATATGAAAAGTGTCCGTCGAAAATGGATTCAATTAGGGTGGCGCCACAGTAGCTTCAGGTTAAATTTTAAAGGAAGCGCCAAATATTATTAGAGTAGGATTGAGAAATAAACAAGGAACACAACATTTTACCCATAACTGTTTTGTTATTCATATAATACTTTTTTATTAAATTAAATGATAAAAAATCAATAAACGTACTATTCACAGTTGACGAAATAAAATCACTCCGGCTACACGTTTTCTCATAACAAGCGCCATTCTGGAAGGTTTTTGAACTATTATTTATAGAAAACGCTGTAAACTTTTTCAAATTTTCTCTCATACGGTTTCCAACGGTTTTATATATATATATACATAATAAAAATATTTCAAATTTATTAAATGAAATATTAAATTTAAATATAAATCAAGATTATTGCACTTATATTCATTGACTTTTATATTGAAAATATTTTTATAATGAGTACGGAATGTTTTATAATTTTTCGGGATTATGTTAATGAAGATATATCACAATGCATAGAATTATTTATAAATGAAGGATTAAACTTAGTAAATAAAATATTATTTGATATGTTTGGTGTAAAAAATGCTGGGTCAATACTTTTTTGGACAAGTATGTTTATGTTATGTTTTATCATCCGTATCGATGTTTCTTATTACATGATTATACCTACCGTATTTTTTTTAATAAAAATGATAACTTTTACAATAATATGGAAGAGAATTAAGAAGATTCGAGAAGAAATATGTAAAATTATAAAGTATTACATTCATCATTATTTATTTATTATTTTTTCATTAAGTTAAACAATATGAATTTGATATAAAATAGAATAATTTTATTTGATTTAAACAGGTCTTACGTGTTTGACGATTCAAAGTGTATATGGGTATTTGAAGTGTTAACACCTCATTCAAAATTAAATGTTCTTAAAGACGATTTTGTTTGGACATTTATAGTCGAGGAGGAATTACATTCACGTAACATCGACTTACTTAAATATGATAGACAAATAATAGCTATTATCTCAATAGATAAACACGAGACAATACCAGACTCCATAATAATAAAAAGATTAATTATTCATGAAGAATACAGAATGAAATATTTAGGGACTTACTGTTTGGATATGGCTCTTGCATTTGCCAAAAATCATGGATATGTTCTTATTTTTATTATGCTCTCTAAATACATGGATGATGCTATTAATATGGTTTCTAATAGAGGTTTTAAATTATATAAGAAACATGAATTAAGTTTTGTCAAATCATTAATGGCAATACCTACTTATGAATATGTATATAATTTACGTTCTAAGTATTATTATCCCAAATTTAAGAAACAACGTCATATAACAAGGACTTACAACCTTAATTTTTGACAACGAACATAAAAATAAAATAAATATTTAAAATTAAGATTATTTTCATCTATCTTCTGTGTTCTTTTTTTTTATTTATTTTTTTTATTTTTTAAATAAACGTTCATTTCTTTTATAAGATTTTTTTTTATAGATAGTATATCACTTCTTATCATTAGCAATAAATTTGATTTAGATTAATATTTTATTTTTATATTCAATTAATATTATTTATTATCATTTGTTTGTCTTCAATTATACTTTCTTTTTTATATTTTTATTTTTTATATACAATTATTACTCTTACCTGTGTTATTATACTTTTGTTGATAAAACAATGATAAAAGAATATCGATTTATTGATCAATCCCATCAGTTCACTTGAAAATTATTGTCAGATAATATTATTTGTCTTATCGCCTTTAACCTGCCAGTATTTTTTTAATTCTACACCTTCCCAATGTTTCATTTTGATTCGATTTAAATAACTGAAATAATAAATCAATACAAAAAAAAAAAATTGATTGTTTGTTTTTAAGAAAGATTTATCACAATAGTTATTACTTACTTCTCTTTGATGAAATTTAATATTTCCTTTTCCTTATCCATTATGCCATTTCTAAATACGTTTAAATTCATTATTAATTGTTGCATATTTTGAATACCGATCAAACTCGTTGATATATCTTCACATTGCATAGCATACCACACTGCTAATTTGCTTATATCAACATTGTTTTCCTAAATAAAAATAAATCATATATAAGATAACATTATTGTATTGTTACATTTATAAATAATTACCCTTTAATAATTCCTTAATTCAATATGATAACAAATCAATAATAATAACCTTACAATATTGTGCAACATCAGTACAAGTATTTTTTATTTCTTCACTAGCAGGATGCCAAGATGGAGGGCCATTGCTCGTTAAAAGACCCATGGCAAGTACAGAGGCATTAATTATACCAACATTATGATTCTAAAATATAAACAATCCTTTTAATTATCAATTTGTTATTATGAAAATTAGACAATTTTAATGAATTTAATTCTGAACCTTAAAAAATTCTATATACTGGATTAATGAATTATCTAATAAATTAAACCTGGAATAAGTTAACACACATGAAATATCAATATTGCTACGTTCAATGCATTCTTTTAAAACAGAAATGGGATAGCCAGTAATACCAATATATCTGGCTTTTTTATCAGCAATTTGTTTCAATAATTCCGGTAAAGTTTGTGAAATTATTACATCCAATGATGGAGCAAATTCTATGTCGTGAACCTGTAAAATATATACAAAGTTTTATATTTGTAAAAAAAAAAAAAAAAACATGTAACGATATGTAATACATATTTACCTGAATAATGTCAACATAATTCAATTTTAAATTACTCAAACTATTTTTAATACTGTCTCTTGTTTTTTCACGTGAAAAATCAAACATTTTGTCAACATTCAACTCGTATCTTCCAACTTTGGTTGCAATGTAATAAGCTTGACGTGGAATTCCTTCCAATGCCTAGTTTTCAAATAATAAAAAAGAAAAACAAAGATGTTAACAAAAATAAAGAAAAGAATGAAAATTTCTTTTACAACATAATTTTACCTTTCCCATAATCTTTTCTGATTTTCCTTCTCCGTACCATGGTGATGTGTCAATGTAATTTACACCTTCTTTTATAGCTTGTCGTATAGTTTCAATTGCTTCTTTTTCATCAAAATTACTACAAATAAATACAACGTTAATTAAACAAAATAATGCTAAATTTAATTATTAACATACCCATAATGAACACCAAATGGTCCACCACCTAAAGATATTTTACTGACGTATAAATTTGTATTCCCAAGTTTATTATATTCCATTGCTTTAATTGTTTCCAGATCATGGAAACCTTCGACATAAGTTGGTGGTAACATAATTTTATATATATATATATAATTTAAAACAATTATTAATGTTATATGTACAAAACAATTATTTGTACTACTATATCTAACTATATATATATATATATCTAAATGTCAGTATAAAAGATTGTAAAAACTTTACAGGAATATTGTTCTAAATAACACAATGTTTTAAATTACTATTTAATGATAAATACTATTATCATGTCACGAGAAAAGATAAGACTCCTACAAGAAAAAAGAAATACTAAAAGTTTTAAGTGTTTTAATTGAAACATTGTACATCCAAGTTCTCTTATTGGTCATTCTTATGTAACTGTTAAAAAAAGCAATTCAAATCTTGTTCAAAGTACAGTTTCATTTAAATTATTCGTTGATTTCATTACAATTGAACAAATATTAACTTTTAATTAATGAACATCAATCTTAATAATGTTTAAATAAAACAATACTTATATTTTATATACATATCTTTAAATTTTATTTTTGCAATGATCACCTAGGCAACTGAAATCAATCAGAGTGGTTCTTTTTTTTTAACAGTTTGCGGCTAATTCAAAATTTTACGTTTTTAATTTTACAAAATCGTATATTTTATTATTATATCTAAATTATTGTAGTTTTTAAATCTCTTTGTTTTTTTTTTTTTTATACCGTCAAACAGGAATAATAAAAATTATAAAAATGGTATGTTTAATTATATGAATATAAATATAAATCTGTGTGTGTTTTTTTTATATATATATTCTTATTTCTAATTAATCAAATATAGTAAACATTGAAGAAGAAATCCAAATTATTTGCAATATAAAAAATAATTACTACAAATTTTTATAATTCTTTCTTAAATATTTTTTTTATATTGCAAATAATATAAATTAACAATAAGCTGTTTACATATATATATGTATGTAAATTCATATAATTAAAATACAAATTAAATGTTATATCTTTTTTTTTTTTAAGCGTGAATGTATATCAATGCACGTTGGTCAAGCAGGAGTGCAGATGGGAAATGCATGTTGGGAATTATATTGTTTAGAACATGGTATTCAACCGGATGGTACAATGCCTTCTGATAAAGCTACAGGAACAAATGATTGTTTTAATACATTTTTCAATGAGACAAGTTCTGGTAAAATGGTACCAAGAGCTGTAATGGTTGATCTTGAACCAACTGTCGTTGGTAAGAATCTCTCAAAACAATCTTTCGCACAAATACAATTATTATAATCAACATTATGATTACAATATTAATTAATTTTTAGACGAAGTTCGCATTGGTCCTTACAAACAATTGTATCATCCAGAGCAACTAATCACTGGCAAGGAAGATGCTGCTAATAATTATGCTCGAGGTCATTATTCCATTGGCAGAGAAGTCATCGAATCCGTAATGGATCGGATTAGAAGGTTGACCGATCAGTGCACAGGATTGCAAGGATTTTTCGTCTTTCATTCATTTGGTGGAGGTACAGGATCAGGATTTACTTCTTTGCTTATGCAAAAGCTCTCCGACGATTATGGAAAAAAAAGTAAATTAGAATTTGCCGTATATCCAGCACCTCAAGTAAGTTCATTACCTGTTTTTTTTTTATTCGTTACTAACATTATGTATTTAAAAAAATATATAATATTAATAATATACTTGCATTTTAGGTCTCTACTGCTGTAGTTGAACCTTACAATGCAATATTAACAACGCATACAACTATCAGCCATTCGGATTGTGCATTCATGGTTGACAACGAAGCTATTTATGATATTTGTCGACGGAAATTAGGAATAGAGAGACCATCTTATGCTAATTTAAATAGACTCATAAGCCAAGTAGTATCTTCCATAACAGCATCCTTAAGATTCGATGGTGCCTTGAACGTAGATCTGACTGAATTTCAAACTAATTTAGTACCTTATCCAAGAATACATTTTCCTCTTGCAACCTATGCACCAGTTGTTTCTGCTGATAAAGCTTTTCATGAAGGAATGACTGTCGCTGAAATTACATCAGAGTGTTTTGAAGCAACCAATCAAATGGTTAAATGTGATCCACGAGAAGGGAAATATATGGCGTGTTGTCTTCTGTATCGTGGCGATGTTGTACCAAAAGATGTCAATGCTGCGATTGCTGCTATGAAAGGAAAAAGTTGCATTCGTTTCGTTGACTGGTGTCCAACTGGTTTTAAAGTTGGTATTAATTATCAACCACCAACCGTAGTACCTGGTGGAGATTTAGCTAAGGTATTAATCAAATTAAACGAACAAATGCACATCAACTTTTCTTTTTCTTAAATCATATACCTCTTATCCTCTACAATTAATTAAAAAAACAAAGATTAAATGTAAGATATATATAAAAAATAATGCAGGTACAACGTGCAGTATCAATGTTATCTAATACCACAGCCATTGAAGAAGCCTGGGCTAAATTGAATCATAAATTCGACCTAATGTACAACAAAAGGGCTTTCGTTCATTGGTACGTTGGAGAAGGTATGGAAGAAGGAGAATTTACAGAAGCTCGTGAAGATCTTGCAGCACTCGAACGAGATTATGAAGAAGTGGCTCTTGAATCACCTTCAACTCCCGATGCATCTTTGGGATATTGATTTGAATCCTTAAATCTCTGTCAATATCATTTATATTACCTATCTAATCATTATCGTCTCTGAACACTAAATTTAATTATGACATCGAAAATATGTGAATATACTGTCATCAACGCTTATACTGATTGATAACCTAACCTTTACGACCGAGTGAAAGGTTAGAAGTGCATAGGACTCTTTAAAATCAAAGTGAAACTAACCTATTTATTTCTAGTCAGATTTTTTATATTTTGATAAACATGTATTTTTATATATATATATATATTTATTTATTTATTTAAAAATTATGTATACACAAATATTTCAAGTATAAAAATCATGAAAGAAACACTAGTAATATCACCATACTATTTACATTGTTACCAATCGATTATTCTCGATATGCATTTGCATCTAGTGACTTTAATTCGATAGCGTCACGTTTATTCAAAAAGTTAATAAAATAATAAACAATAGTAAATAATAATAAATTTATATTCATATTTATAAGAATTAATCATTCAAAAAATTATTAAATAACATATTTATTAACATAAGTATCTACCTAATCCATTTATTCTAAGAATTGACGAAAACAATTAGGTTATATTTTATTAAAAACCTAAATTGAATAATAAATCTAATAGTAGTATAAAAAAATTTATATTTTGTTTATTGCAAAAAGGATTATGTCGTCAGGGCCAATGGTATTATGTCAATTATGGATGGGTGGCGTATGTATTTTTTATTCAACATTTCTCTTTCAAATTTGTTTGTGCATAGTGTTAAAACATTGGAATGGTATCAAATTAATATATGACATTTTTGATTAAATATATTTTATTTTTATAGTTGGAGCCGTACATGACAGAAAGTTTTATTATGAATGCTTTCCATAAGATGGGAGAACAACCTCAAACCGTAAAAGTGATGCGAAATCGGTATACTGGTGAGCCGGCTGGTTATTGTTTTGTACACTTTCCTACTGATGAAATGGCATTGGATGCTATGCATAAGCTTAATGGCAAAGCTATTCCTGGTTCCAATCCTGTTTGTATTTTAATAGAACTTAAATTTATTGTTATATACAAAATAATTATTTATTTCAATGTTTTGTCAATTATTATTCAAATATTTTCTTAATAACAGACGGTAAGGTTTCGTCTAAATCATGCCAGTACTACTGGTAAACCTGCTGCTGACAGGGAATTCAGTATTTGGGTTGGAGATTTGTCAACTGATGTAGACGATTATTCTTTGTATAGAGCATTCGCTGCTAAATATAATTCCATAAGGACAGCTAAAGTAATATTGGATAGTTCAGGATTTAGTAAAGGTTATGGTTTCGTAAGATTCGCCAATGAAGAAGAACAAAAGAATAGTTTGGTGGCGATGAATGGATACAGAGGATTAGGAACAAAGTCTCTTAAAATCTGCAATGCGGTACCAAGACCATGGAATAAAATGTCTTCAATATTTATTTTTAATTAAATCTTAAATCTTATTAAAAAATAATTATAACGATTATTTTTATATATTATAGATCAACTCCACCTCAATCATCTTCAGAATATGCACCATCGAACATGAACTCTGAAGCGTATAACTATTATGATACTTCTTCCTATTGGAGTAGTTACAGCGCATGGCAACAAGGTTATTACGAAAGTGAACCAACATCAGATGCTTACAATAGCTACGTTTCCGATCAAAAACCAGAAGAAGATGAATTAGAATTAATTGGTATATTACAGAATAATTTGTCTATATATATATATATTTTTTTATACAATACATTTCACAATCATGATTAATTATCAATTATATTATTTTTCAGAGCATTCTGTACCGTTGGATATTGACAAATTTAACAGAGAAATAATTGAACAAGATTATAATTTATGGGATGCTTTAGAAAGTTCAAAATGGATTCCTTGCGATACAATAGAATTATGTTACTAGTAATTTTGTGTCGCATAATTTCTATATTTGTTCATACCAATATCGCAAACAATTTTTCCCCCCTTCTAGATTATAAATATTTAAATACTATTCATAACAAAAATTGAATGGTTTTTGGACCATTCATATTTAAAAGTAAATAAATAAAAAAAACCTGTTTATATGATATATCTTTTTTTAGAATTATTATAAATGTAATATTCGTTTCCGTCTTATTTCTAACAGAACTCCTGCTGGAAATAATAGCTTAAGCTATTAATTATTTCATGCGTATCCTACGTGACACTTACTTGTCGTCAGTTAGATTTAAGTTGTCACATCTAACAGAATTTAAAGAACAAGTACGAGTACGTATAACTTTTTTTTTTTTAATTAATAATCATATTTTTATCAATTAATTATATATAAAAAGGTAAACGAAATAATAAATTCAATTAACATGCTAATATATCATATCATTTTTGGAATATTGTATTTTTGGAAAGGTGTTAAAGGTGGATGGGTTGATATACCTGAGTTTTCAGATGAAACAAAAGTTTACAGGTATGCGTTTATATTCTATGTTACTTTAATAATGCACATTTTATATATTAGGTATATAAATTTACAATAAAATGAATATAATCATTTCAATTTCTATGATATTTGTGTCTTCATTTTCATAGAATTCCTTTTTCTAAACGTGACCAAGAATACAAATTTATACGAAATGACGATAAAAATACTTATTTTTATAAACAACAAAATGGTATGATTTACGACGAACAACAAGAAATTCAAATTCCATCAATACAAAAATCAGATTTAAATGTAACTCAATTGACAATAACAGAATCATATTCTGAAATAAATCAATATTTTACAAATGTGTCTTCTGTTAAACCTATTGACGAAATTCATTGTGAGATCAAAAATAATAGTTATGACGTGGTAAGAAATATAATTGAAAAGTTTACATATTAAAAGTAACGTATGATTAAATGACAAGTGTACACAAATATTCATTAAAATGATTTCATCGGTATCTGTAATACTGTTTAAATAGTTTCATTAATTCAATTTAATGTGAAATATGTATTGCAGGATAAATTATTGATTGAGTCTGATCCAATAAAATTAAAAGAATATACAATATCAGATACGATAATTAATAATACTAAAGAAGTTAAATTTCAACAAAATTTACAGCAATCTAATAAAAATACCAATGATACATTGAAAAAAGATAAAAATACATTTTTAATGTATTTACCAACAGAATTATTTAAAACTGTTCATCAAAGTTTAAAATCTCAATCATTGAGTAAAAAAGGCAAATTACAATTTTTAAAATCATTTGAAAAAATATTATTACACGAAATAGGTGAATCAAATTAGATTATTTACTTTGTTAACATTCGTATGAAATATCACAATTGTATAAAACAAAATTAATTTTATATAGAATCTAGACTCATCAAATGTATAAATCCGAATCGTATAAAAAGAGGTACCAGTGAACATTATGAACACGGATACGATGATTATGAAGATCACGGATTGGGCTTTCCTTCTGTAGAAGGTGCATTAATGGCTATTTCATTTCTTACATTTGCTGTTTATCTGGTTAGATTAGTCATGGTAAGATAATTTTCAAAATAAAATGTAAAATGTATAAAAGAAGAAGAAGAAGAAGAAGAACATAAGATTGATCATTATTGTAGCTTCTTTTTCGAAATAATGGAACACAAGTTACTACACCCACCGTATTAGTTGGTAAGAAAAAAAGATCGGTGGAAGAATTTAATGAAGAGACAGCAAGAATCTTTCATAGCGTGGATAACTTCATTTCTAATATTTAATCGTTATTCTCATATCAAATATAAACGTAGAATAATCATATTTATAGTCCATTCTAATATATATATATATATATATTTTTAAGCTATGTTTGTATGTATATTAAATATTTAAGATAAATTCATCAAAAGCAATCATTTCTACTTTAATAATAATCAATAATAATAATATATATTCATTTTTTGATTACAACACAATTATAAGTACTTGATTATAAAAGAATTGAGATTCAAAATCATTATAAACTTTATATATATATATATATTTTTTTTCATAATTTAGCTTTTATGGATAACGAATTATTTAACACTGATAAAGTAATATCGTTATAAGATCCCGAAGGATGTAATAATGGCAACTGACGTAATTTCTTAATGAGAAGTTCTATTTGTATTTTATTGATTAAATAAATACCTTCTTTTTCGGATTTTACAACAATACCTTGTTGTAAAAGATTAAACAATGTGGATTTGAATAGGTCAAGCGACAAACAGTATGGATGAGGACGAGAATTAGTTTTCTCCAATAATGCTATTTCTACTTGTTTCTGACATTCTTTCAATATTTTTTGATTTGTTATGGCACCCAGAATTGATTCATTCCACTAGAATAAATGTATAAGAAAAAAATGATAAATTAAAAGTAATATATATATATATTGTTTATTATTCATAATAAAATATATTATTTGTGTTCTTACGTTGAGTAAAGTAGTACAGGTAAAACGTGCAGCATCGATAAATGGTAACATTAGATTATGCAGTAGAGTAAACAAAGCAGTTTTTTGTCCCGTAATAAAATTATCCTTAATATTTAAACAATTTTCTTTCAATAAAATATCAATCGATTTTTGCCATTCCAAATAAATGACAGAAGAATTTGGATTTGGAAATAACGCAAATTCTGTACTTAATAATTTCCTTAATAAAACGTATCGTTCAAAGGCTTCATCTAAAAATCAAAAGAAAAATAATAATAATAATAATAATAAAACTAATTAACGTTTGTTACTTTTACTATGATTTTTAATATCATAATGAACATTTACCAATATTAATTGTGTCTAATCCAACAGTTGTTGTAATCATTCCTAATTTAACAAGAAAATATAACGTAGCGTTCACATAAATAGTTAAATTAATAGCTGGTATTGCTATTTTCATAATACGTTCGTTCAACTTATATGTCTTCATGTCTGTATTTCCTTCCAATTTTGCTTCTGTATATTTGGTGTGGAAATGTAATACTTTTGATTTATCTAACATAAGTAATTCTGAATGTGTTTCTAATGATAATAATATTTCCTTATATAATTCATCAGTAGTCACATTGCTGCGAAGAAAAATATATTTTTCAATTAAAAATGAATATATCAATTTTATTTCTAAGAAAAAAAAAAAAAAAAGAAAAAAAAACACAAGAAAAAAGTTAAAAAGAAAACAAAATAATACTTATTAACTGATGGATAGAACACAGCTCCTAATGAGGAAAGCCATTGTTTATACCATCTGTAATCTTCCACCAATGTTTCAAGAGTATACGGATTTCCAGGATACGTTTGTATTCTTTCATTAAACAACAAAGCAATTATATTGAAAGTAGTAAGCACTGTATTTTTTTGATGAGTATCTATTATGTCATATGCTAAATTTTTGATAATATCTGATGATAATTTATAATCAGGATTCATAACTCTGGTTTTACGATCCTTTAATGATATATATTGAGAAGCAGAAATAGGTTTGCCGATATTGAAAAAGACTGTTCCATAAGAACCAAGATCTTTTAATAATGACATAAATCGTAATAAAGCGATTGTTGTTTCTTTTGGTTTTGGCACACCTAACAGTTCATAAACAAACAAGTTTTCTTCTATTGGCCGATCATAACTAATACTAATTGGAACAAACTGAATATCAGGTACATTGCTTTGAAGATAACTATCTAAAATGATAGATAAAAGACCTAAAAAATAGAATATATATATATATATATATATATAAATAATATATAATAATGTATATAATCAATCGTTGTTGGTTCTCATTATAAAATGATACATATACTTGCCATATTTTGGTTCAATACTTTTTTGACTTCTACTGCGAGTACCTTCGATAAAAAATTCAATAGCTCTGTCGCTGTAATTTGTAATACAAGTAATATAAGCTTTAAAAATTTCTTTGTATAACAAATCGTTAGAAAAGCTACGTCTCATATAAAACGCTCCAGTTTTACGTAATATTTCTCCAATAAATTTCATTTGATAAAAGTCCATACCACTTGCTACATTTGGTAAGGACATATCGTAATAAAAGAGAAAACATGACCATAAGATGAAATCTAAATAACTTCTGTGTGAAGGTACATAAACATATTGTAGTTGATAAGTAGACATTTGATTTCTCAAGTTTAACATTGTCCCTTCATTAATATAAATATTGCGAAAAATTTTCTTCAAAAATTTAGATATAAAGAAACCTGCATAAAGAAAAATATAATTTCACGAATAATAATAGTAATTACATGTTAGATGTTATATTGTAATAACACATTGATGTAAGAAAATAATAGAATATACCTAGCCAACGAACTGTAGGTAAATGAGCCTTGCTCGCCATTTCTTGTAAAACGTCATAAGCATTTCTTTCAATAACAGATTTAGATACATTTTGATTTTTGGCTAAATAATTGATTACTTCTTTGATACGTTGATTATTTAATACTGCATTTATTATTTGATTTCTAGATAATTTTAATTCTGGTGGTAACTTATGAGGCATTTGTATATCCATATGTCTAGAAACCCATAAGAAATCAGAATATTTTCTTCTTTCTATTAATATATCAACGAATTCACTGTTTTCTTCTTGCATTTTGAAATATTATCTTTCAATTTATTTTATTTTTTTTTTACTAATAATCAATCAAACAAACTCTTTTCTATGTTAAAACTATTTTTTCTTATCTGCAATAATACAAAATCAACGTCTAATGATACAAAGTCCAAGTTAATATACACCTGTCAATTTTAATGTAATAAAAACTATTATGACATACCTCAAGTATAATTAGAATTTTGAAAAAAGACATATGTGTGATGACAATAAAGTGCAATGTTTACGTAGTCATTTTCAAAGACGTAGCTATAATTGAAATATCGTATAATTAATAATAATATATTGCGTGAATAAAATTGCTTAAGTTAAATATAAAACAATCTTTTGATAAATATTAATTTCTTTACATTTTAATTAACACGTGTTGCATAGTAATGTGTACTCCATAATACATCCAGTTGTATGAAATAATCGATATGTCACAATGATATGTATTTCTTCGAAAATTATTTAAATTACTTTTAAAAGCTCATTTTTTTTTTAAGGCAATTAGTAAGAAAAATGATAATAATAAAATGTTATCATCAAATTTTTTTTCATAATTAGGAAAAATTACGTGTTATCAATATTTAGAATTAATTGCTTATTGAGGTTACACAAATAAAGTTGCAAGAGGTAAAATAAATATTTCATTAAAGAATAAGAAAAAAAATGAAAGAAATGAAAAAATAAATTTATTGTGCATTTTTTAATGCATTTCGTAAATAAAAATAAACAAATATTGTATTAAACATAATATGAAATTAATTTAAATAATAAATAAATCTAATAGTCGTTTGAATTTCCCGCTCGATTCAAATGGGGGAACATGGCGCAGGTGCTTGCATGCTGAAAAGAACGATGTTAGTCAGTTTATTTTATTATTCTGAATATACTCAATGATAATAGTATCGGTGCAGTGTCAACAAATATTAAATGAAAACAAATTAACATAATGTAATTAAATTTAATTAGCATAAATTCAACATGGCTAATCCTGCATTTATTTTGGATAATGGAGCATACACAGCAAAAATTGGACTTTCCACAGAAAATCCCAAGTAATTTAATATTTATGAAATAAACAATACTATTTATTATATTCATAATTAATAATAATGTTTAATTATATGATATTTATACAGGGTAGTTCCTAATTGTATAATGAAGGCAAAAAGTGAACGCAGAAGACCATTCATAGGAAGTCAAATAGAAGAATGTAGAGATGCATCTGGATTATTTTATATTTTGCCATTTCAAAAAGGATATCTTGTCAATTGGGATATTCAAAAAACTGTTTGGGATTATATATTTTCTAAAGAATGTTGTCCAGTTAATTTAAATCAACTTTCTGTCATAATAACAGAACCACTATTTAATTTTGCAAGCATTCAAGAAGCCATGACTGAAATATTTTTTGAAGAATATGAATGTCAAAGTCTTCTCAGGGTTAATACCAGTAGTCTTTCATGCTATAATTATAGGAGTGAAAAGCCTGGTACCAAATGTTGTATAATAGTCGATAGTGGATATAGTTTTACACATATTGTTCCTTACATAAATGGTAGTAAAATTAAGGACGGTATAAGAAGAATAGATGTGGGTGGCAAACTTCTTACTAATCATTTGAAAGAAATAATATCTTATCGTCAGTTACACGTTATGGATGAAACATATGTAATAAATCAAGCAAAAGAAGATTCTTGCTTTGTATCGCAAGATTTTTACAAAGATATGGAATCTGCTAAAAAAAAGTTAGAGAATAATGATATCGTCAAGGATTACGTTTTGCCAGATTATACAACATTGCGACGTGGTTTTCTTAAAAATCCAGAAGTTTCTAATGAACAGCAAGCAGTTCGTTTGAGTAACGAACGTTTTGCTATACCTGAAATTCTTTTTCATCCATCTGATGTTGGTATTCGACAAATGGGTATACCTGAGGCTATCATAGATTGCTTGAAAGCTTGCGATGAAGAAACATGGCCACACCTTTTATCTAACATAGTACTAACTGGTGGAAATGCCAAATTTCCAGGTTTTCGAGATAGAGTTTATAAAGAAGTTAGAAGTCTTGCATCATTTGATTATACGATTAATGTTTATTCACCAGAGAAGTAAGTATTATTTATATTTTATTATGATTAATCTTATATTGAAATGTTATATACAATTTTCTTACATAAATATTTTTTTTTATTGACAGTCCGATCACTTATGCATGGTATGGTGGAAAAACGCTATCAAAAGATGCAATATTTCCTAGTCTTCTTGTGACAAGAGAAGAGTATGAAGAGGAAGGACAATCACATTGTTTTGAAAGATTTGATGTTTAATAAAATTGTTTAAATAAAAAGAAAAATAATATTTTTATATGATGTTCATTATGATTGTCCTCAGATCAAAATGGACAACGAGCAATAAACATTAAATGTAGGAAATGTTTTTTAAAAAAATTCAATTTATTTTCAAAGAAATTAAAAGTTTGGTTATGTATAAAATATTTATTTATTAGATTTAAAAAATCTTATAAATAATAACTATTTAATTATTATTTTCTTTGCAGATTTGTTATCAATTAAAATTATAATCAGTCTTTTATTTTATTTAACACACAGATGAGACATTGAAATGTGTGAGTGTACAGTTTACTAACCTTACACTTTAGTTCAAACTAATGTGAAAGGGTTAAAACATACACAAGTTTATTCATTGATAATAAAGTCGCGTAGTGGGGGAGTTTTAGTTCAAATTTTGCTCGTACCTGTCGCTGATGTGTCATATGCTTTAGATGGAAGGTATTTGATTCAAACAACATTAAATTTATCAAACATTAGTAATGTATTTTGAAAAGTGGTTAAAAATGTACATAATGTTTGATTATATATAAAATAACTGTATTGCGTTATAAATATGGTATGTATGAATAATAATTATTAAAATAAAAAATTACAAACATTATATTAGGTTAGATGTTAGGTTATAAAGCATGTCAGTTTGGTTAGAAAAATTAATGATTGAATAATGCTTATTTATAATTATTATATTTATCAATTTTTCTTCTAGAATATTAACGATATATTATTAAAAAAAATTACTTTATTGATTTAAAATTAAAGTATATTAATTTAGTATAAACAATAACTTTTAATGAACAATTTGTCTATGTTTCATTGAAATGTGAATATTATTCTTTTGTAGGAACTATGTTTAATCTTTTATTAAATTTAGTGATGGAAACGAAAGTAACTAGTAAAACAAGTAGCTTAAAAGCTTTATTATTAAGAGCATGGAGAGAACGATGGAGCGATCTACAGTGGGGTATAAATATAAAAACGGTCAGAATTTTCTATTAATATATATACATCTATTTAAATATAAAATTTATTTGATAGTATTTTTCTAATTTTAATCTTTTAGATTTTACCGAGAGGAGTTAGCGGAGATGTGTACAATTTAGCAGATTGTATTTTACAACAAGCGTTAGTAGGACCTGGTCCCAATCAATTAGTGTTATCATATTTGAAACATTCATTATGTTCTCAGGTTAGTATGTTATATTATAATCAGTATCACATATTTGCGACTTTTCATGATGTGCTAGAAAATGTATCAAACTACTATAACTTTTTAGTTAGTCTCATATGCTGCTGTATTGCAACGTATAAGCAAATACGATGGCTTTCATAAGCCTCATTGCATCGTGAGCTTATTAGAATTTTTAGAATCCATTCAAGTTGGTATAACTTGTCGTGGAAAGCCAGAGGAAGATTTTCTAGCTGCTGCAGTTTTATCCATAGTCCATTGGTTATTGCAATGTTATTTGCATACATTAAATAAAATGCCTCAGAGTAATTCTATGTCACAACAAGTTAATGATCTTATGGATAAACCAGCAAGTATTTTGAAGCAAATGCTTGCTTCAGATTTCCTTTGTGCAATGATGTACTTAGCTCAATACGACGACAAAGGTATTTATATATAATTTGTTATGATTTATGATCTTTCATTTGTCTAATGGTTAATTGTATTTTTTTTTTTATTTTAGAATTGTACATTGCAGTAGTTAGAAAATGTCAAGAAATAGAAACTTTGTTAAAGAGTAGTAACTTAAAACCATCAGTTTCTATAGAAGAATCTCTTAAAAAGTTGTGCAACTTGGAAGTTGAAATTCTCGCTTTATCACCTGAAAAATCAAAGATGGAATCAATAACGCATTGTTTACAACCATTATTCGCAGTTCAAGTATTATTAAATCCAAGTACAGAAACAACCGTGTTTGTTAATCAATTGCAAATGGTACAACGTTTAAAAAGTTATTCTAATGCAAGACTTTATTGTGAAATTATGCGTGCTTGTTTAATGTGTTTGCATAATGTTACTGGAACATTTAACGAGTCACAGTGGGGTGCATTTACATTTTTAAAAGTTCCTGTTATTTTAAAAGAACTTCACAATGCTACACTGAATGGTAATTAAAAATAAATAAATAAATTAATTAATTAATTATTGAAAGCGTTTTAACTAAGTGTTTATTTTTAGGAGATGAAAAATACGAATATTCGCAAGATATTTTAGATTCGTTGGAACTGTTATTACAATTTACTCCACTTCTTGATATAATGGATACTACATGTTCATGTAATTGCATCGAATGTTTATTAAATGAATTACAAAAGGTGAATTTGGTTACGGAAAAACAGGCAAAACAATTGAGCAGTAGAAGGTATTAAAATTGAATTTTATTTATGTGCATTATTTTAAAATATCTTACACACACATATTTATGTAAATATAATATTTTAGAGAAGGATTAACTGCAGCATTGCAAAAATTAGAAACTACCAGTACACCGACATCATCCATTCCAAAAGTAATTATAAGAGCAGAACCAACGTTAGCAGGAATTTTAAAGACACTTAATGCTGATTATACAAAAATTCACGAGGCCTTACTTAGTATGTTATATCAAGTGTTGTCAGGAAAAAGTTTTGAATTGATGCTTGCAGTTGCTACGGTAGAAGGCAAATTGAAAACATTTGTTACTAAATTAATTAAATTTAATGAATGTAGTAAACAAATCATTGAGTCTGTTCCTAACAAAACAGCTGCAACAAGAGCTATGTTATTTGATGTATCATTTTTAATGCTCTGTTCTATTGTACAAACTTATGGTTCTGATGTAAGTATATTACATTTATTATATAAAATTATATTTTTAATTGTATAACATGTAATTTGTAATATATTACAATATTCTTATATATTCTTACAGGTAGTATTAGAAGAAGGTGGAGATTCATTTTTTGAACAATGGGTACGTGAATGTATGCCTGAACGAAATAAACCAAAGTCTCCTCAAAAAATGTTACAAAATATTGATCCTACTAGAGTGGACACATTGTTAGCTCAAATCAACTCTTCAGAACCAGACTTTAAATCTAATAATATGAAATGGCACGTTGCTTGTCAATCTGCAATGGGAGCAGTTAAAGAATTACTTTGTGCATGGGAAAGTGGTGTATTAGGTGCAGGTGATGTAAAAAGAACATTAGATGGATTGCGTACAGCTGCATGTTGTTTACCAGTATGTGCAGCTGCTTGGCTTTGTGCATATATGAGTATTACTCATCAAGATGCACTTCTTAAACCCATGAATATGGTTCAACATTTTTTAACTCCTCTTCCTGGAGAAGAAATGCAAGACAATTTCAAAGAAAGGTTAATAATAATAGTTAATTATTATATTAGAATTATCACGTGTTTATTTATTAATTATTATTAATTTGTTGTTTTATCAAAGATCAAGTTTGATGTCACAAATTATAAGAAAAATGCAATATGACGTACACCCACCAACGCAATCCAAAACTAAAGTGCTCTCAATATCTCACAGGTACGTATACACATGAAATGTTAATCAAAATATTTATATGAATTGTTGTAATGTCATGTTTTTTTTGTTTTCCATTTTTTAGTATTATATCACGACAACCAATATTAGAACAATTAGAATCTGTTTGGTATAGTATAAATCAACGTGGTTGGATTTGTATGCAAGCAACACAATCTTTAGAGTTATTGTTAAACACAGGTGGCTCGTTATGGTTTGTTTCAAACATAGTTAAAGAAGTTTTGAAATATAGATACCAGGAAGAATTAGATCAAGCTGTGGACCTAGCATTTGCATTATTTCATCTTGATATTGAAAATTGTACATTGGATCTTATTAATCATATCATTCCACAATATTTATACAATTCGTTACAGTAAGTTTATTGAAAATAATAATATCAAAAAAAAAAAATAAAAATAAAAGCTTATAATTATTCATTTATTTTACAGAAGTGAAGAATTCGTCGAACCACAATCTTCGATATTAGCAAAACTTTGCGTATATTGCATATTTTCTACATTAGAATACAACAATTCGAATCCATATCGTGGAAATAATAGAAAACGTGTTCGCCGTGATTTAGATGCCGACGAATTGGATGCATTAGGGGTACCTGCAAATAAAATTTTAAGACTCAACGAAACTGGTGATACCAATGCTATATTTGGTTCACAAAGTCCACAAACACAAAATTCAACTAACGGACAGAAATCAATTATCTTAAGGGATCCACTTTCTACTGCATTGAATGGATTATTTACAACATTTACCTTTCTTGCTGGAAGAGATGGGGAAGTGTCACAACAAACTCATTTTATATTACAATTTTTACGATTAATGGTACAGTGTGGTAAAGACAGAACTCGTATCGTACTCCAAGGAATGCCACAGACATTGGTATACATATTGGTTTTTTTTTTTTTCAAAAATATTATCAGAATAATATTTCAACAACATTTTACAAATGATATTTTTTTGTTTACTTTTTAGGTACCGTGCCTTTTAAAAGCACTGCCCGAATCATTTTCAACTGACATATTACTTAGATTTTATGATATACAAACAGTAATAGGTCGTAAAGCAACTGCACGAGATTTGTGTATGCTACGAAATATTAATCTTAAGCCAGCTAAATAGATAATTCTTTTTTTTTTTTTTTTATCTTTTGATTAAAATTCTTATAGATTTGTTTTTCTTCTTTTTTTTTTTTTAAATAATGATGATGGTGATGATGATGATGATGATGATGGTATATATTTATTCATTATTCAAATAATTCATATCGAAAATGTGTAAAATATAAATAGTCATAATGTCATTAAAAAAATATGATGGTACAGGTAATTATTTTTTAAATATATATATTTAAAATAATTTAATGTGTCTGCTGTGTGTTTACATGTTTACACGACCAATTGATGTAATATAATTATATCGTAAAAAAATGATTGAAAAAGTAAATATTAATTATACATTT